TGGCATAATAATTCTATTCTGGTAAGGGTAAAGAAGGAGGTGTCCTTGTTCTGTTTTGCTTTCTGAGGATTCAGCTACATATATTTGAGTTGCTAAGTTTAAACTTCATAATATGTTATTGCATCTATTTCTTTTTTTTAAAAAATCTATAATTCAGCAGAAAATTTGCAAATTAGGAGCTCTGACTTGTTTCTGTACATCTGATACAATATTCCTATGTAAATTTCTGCAGAGGAGAGACAGACTTTTTCTGTTAATCCTCCTTTTACTGGAGTGCCAATGGAAGCTGAGATTTGGCTTTTAACAAAATGTGTAGAGAAATCTAGTGGCAAGGAGTTTATAAACAGCTAAAGTAATACTTACATCAGAATTACCTGGAGGAAAGACTGCTGCACAGTTCTTTGCATAGGTGCATTTTCAGCATGCTTGGAATTGTGATGACTACAAGATCATGAATCCTCCTACTCCTGAAGAGTCTAGTCTACTGCTTCCAATTGTTATTTCTTAAAAGCAAGAAATAACTATGAAATGAAATATATGTATTCCACCCACCCTAACACTCACCCAAGAAGAAAGATGGTCTTATTTTCTGTTTCTGGGATTGTAATTATATTGACTGAAGATGATTACATTAGGGAGGGATTATTTGATAAAATAGCATGTTTCTATCATAACCTCATGATACTGCTACCCCTTTGTCTTACAAAATGATTCTTCATGTGCTTATTCCTACACACCTGTTGCTGATTAATACCCTAGGAAGCAAAGGGTTGTACTTTGATTTAGTACAACTTTGATTTAAAACCTAGTCAGAGCTGTGAGTTCCATGAAAGGTTTTGCTAAGAACTGATGGCATCAAAGACTTCTGAAGATACATATAAGAAACAGGCCAAATTCCACTTTTACTCCTTTGGCACTAAGAAGAAACTAGTAGAGATTAATTGCCTGATTCTGTTGTTGGCCTGTTTCGCAATCTTAGCAAATTTGTTTACTTTTATGAATTTAGTTTTACATTTTTACACTGTATTCGTCAAGGGTTTGCACATGAAGTATAACATAATTTACCATGCAGGATTTTTTCCAGCAGCTTTCATGTGATTACTTTATATGAGTAAATTTATGTGTAGGAATTTAATCCTGCATGTAACCTTATAAAGGCTTGGTGATAAAATAATATAAATATATACTGAATTCTATTTTACTTCAAGCAGTGTAAAAACAACAAGTACATTCTGAAAGCAAACACACACACCTTTAAGCATAGAAGATCTGATTAAGGGCAAAGGTCTAGTGACTGATAAGAACCACCTTTATTTTGAAAATAGCTTCACAGAGATTAAATCAGCCAGCAATGTAGTTCCACAAGGTATGAATGTTGCCATTAGTTTCTGCTAAAAGTAAAACAAAAGTCAAGTGTTGAAGTGTTTAATTTCTTCATGTGTCAAATCAGATTTTTTACCAGTATAAGCTGGTATCACTTTTCCACACATGTTTACTGATTTTGTGAGTTGCTGAAGATGCCATAGCCTGATCAAAAATAAATAAATCTTCCCAGAGCTTTGGAATAGGTTCCCCAGGCTTGTGAGGTGAGATGAGACCAAATCTTAGAAAGATGGATGAAGCAGAATCACTCAGTGGAACTTTTGCCTTTGGTCTGCTGAATCACAAAAGGTTATACAAAAAAAAACCCACCATGCCATAATTCTTACCTGTAGCTGGTATGTCCAGAAACAAATGAGCAGATTCTGTGCTCATGGAGGGTAGAAAATATGTAAAGACCTGTTTGAACCTCAGTTCAGGTTGCTGGTAGCAATCAGTTGCAGTTCATAAGGACCTCATTACTCAAACTAAAGACTGGAGGGCCAAAGAAGCTCTCACTGTGGAGATGGATGTAATGAAAAAAGTCACTGGGTACTGAAAGCAGTGTGTTTTACTGAGAAACCTTGCTGTGGTGCTTACACCCATATAAACCACTGGGTTTTTTTAATAGAATTGGACTTTTCACAAAACTTATTCTTTCTGGAATACTTATCTCCTCCATAATATTCTTAGAACTCAGGATAAGGACATTTATAATTATTGTAAAGAAACTGTAGTCATCCCTCCCTTGGTCAGAAGAATTTTGCTTTGAATACTGACCTATGGTATTTTATTGTCATGAAATTGCTGGGTTAAATACTAAAAAATATTCAAGTTCAGATAAGTTCAGCTGGTAGACATTGGTATTTTTCTATGGAGTTTAGAGGAGGAGGAAAAGATCTGACCCACATTAAAACCCTTGACTCTACTCCTTTGTTCTGGTTGTAGGAGGAGATTTTTTTTGGACATATCTACATTATTTATAACAAGCTGATAAAGATATCTGAAAAGAAATCAACCTCTTTCTGTATTACAGTTCTTGATTTTCTTTCTTTAGGCTGTTTTCTAATGGTTTTTGCTGGAGATCATGTGATGTTCCAGTTGTTATGATTAATACTTTTAAGTGTGACAGGTCAAAACTCACAGTATTGATAGAGTACATTTATACTTTTCAAGTTCTTCCAAAATGGGCAGTCACAGTGGGAGGTACTGTTTTGTAATAGCATTTTGTGTTCTGGAAAAGTACCAGTCAGCAGGATTCTATCATCTTTGTAAAAATAAGATATTTAGGTTAGTTTTGATTCAATTCAATTATTCTGAAGATTTCTTCTCATTTAAATTGTTGATGTGAATGTCAAAATAGTGGGCAGGTTTATCTTTAAAAGTTTTCCCTTTTTAAGTGTACACTTTAATTCTGGAGAGAAATCAAGCATGGCCTAAAAAGAAAAAATGGAAACAGTAATATTGAGAATAAATCACTCAAAATAGAATATCTACTTTTTGAAAAAGAATAATTATTAAAATGCAAAAGTTTTCCATTGTTTTCTTCTGTAAAAATTATATATTGAATTAAACTCTGTGCTTTCTGCTTTAGAGAAACAAGTAGTTACTCTTTAAGTCAATTAGCAGGGAAACCCATGAGGGAAATGCATTTCCTACACCACTTTGTTGTGCCTTAGAGAGCAAAGGATAAATATAAGACATTTCTGCGTTAGTAAGCTCAGTTTAGAAGTGCACGGAGAACAGAGAGCTGCCTGGTGCATTAAAGGAGGAATGGGAACTTTAAGTTTGGGCAAACAGAACTGCATTGATCCATGCAGACAAAAGCTTAATTGACTGGAATCCTCTCTTCAATTTTATTTGGGTCATTTACAGTATTGCATAAAATGCTGATAATTTTAAAAAATATTTAAGCCAGGAGTAATAGTTAGATTGCCCTTTAATTTCTTCCTTCACCTGTGGCTGTCAGGATTACTTCCATCAAAGTTTTGCTCTTTTTCATTTCTCTGGAAACCTCTTGATCTCATTGAATTAGTTGTCTCCCTCCCTCAGTTAAATTCTTTATGTATTCCTATCTGATACTAATTTGCTCCTCTGGTTCAATGTATAGTCAAGAGAGTAATTTATTCATCTTCAACAGCACCACTGAAATCACAGAAGTACTTGATGCCCTGATTTATTAAGGCACTTGAGGTCAGTGCCTTCAGCATGTGCTAAAAATGAAGCAAATGCCAGCCTGGGCTCTAAAGGATTAGTCACCTGCATAATGGTTTGCAGGGTCCTTAAAAGTATGAACTTGTGGAGCAGATTTGCTACTGGTGTAAGGTTAGAGCAGCTGTTCTGGAAAGCTGAATGATGCTGAAAATACTTTCAGTGGAATTACAGAGAGCCTGCACTAAGCCTTTCCCTCTTCTTGTCTTGTGCCATGCTGTTACTCCGTGGTGTGTAAAAATAAAAAATCAAAAATTAGAATATTTTTTTTTTACAGAATATATTTTTAATTCTTTTTTTGGTTGATTTTGTGGGGTAGTATTATCATGCTCTTTCACATTTACTTGATGAGAGGGCATCTGTGGTGTCACTGCTAAGGAAAAGAGCAACTGCAAATTGAATGAGACAAAACTTAGGTATCCTAGATTTGCATGATAAAGTGATTTGTATTAGGAAGCTATAGAGAAAGAAACCATGAGGACAAATATAAACTTTTATACTTAATCTGATTTTTTTTTTTCCACTCTGACAATGAAATTTGTTTTTCTTCTTCCTAAGGAAAAAATGTGATACATTCCTTTCTTTTTTTTTTTTTTCCTTATAAAGGTGGCCCTCTCAGTCATATGTTGACTATGAAAATATATTCTTGCAAGCCAGGTGGCAACTATTTTAAAAGTTAAAGATCTATTTCAAATGCTTATTTGGCATGAATTCACAGTAGCTGTATTGTGTATTTTTTGCAATTAAAACTATAAAACTAATCCAAACACATTAGACAGATTGCAGATTCCTCTGTAGTACTTTTGGCAGATATTTGAAACATTCTCTTTGCAAATTCTGTTTAAGATTGTTATGGTTTAGGGGCAGCTTTATTGCATTTCAGAAATAATATCCTGTAAAATGTCTGTAACAAGGTATTTTATCTGAAAGCCCATTGTAGCTTTCTTATTATGAGTTTCAAGCTTCTGCAACAACAAAAGGGTTCTTATTCAAATGTACACTATTGCATTCATTCCTCTAATAGTAGCATTCCATCATATCAGCCTAAAAATAGGCAAACAATTGCATGGAGTACTTGTTATTCATCCTAGATTTTTTTTTTTTATTTATCTTGTTATTAGATATCAGACTTTTGGATAGTCAATGGAGTATTTGCATCAAATACAGAAATAAAAAAATTGTTTTTTCTTAGTATACACATGCTTTCTATCTGTGTCTCCTAGGGATATAAAAAGTTACTGGTTTAGTTACATTGGTCATTTTTATTGCCTTCCTGAAGACAATGGAAATTGCACAAGGCTCCATATGAAACTGTCTCCAAGTGTAAATTAAATCTGTAGTTTAGTCTGTTGTAAATAGAGAAGAATGTACTCTTAGATAATAAATCTTTTTTGTGTATATCAACAAGTTGTCTATTTTTTTCTTCCTAGATACACCTTTAGTTAAAATCATTTCTTCCAATTCATGGCCTGAAGAAGGACAATCTATAATTTTGACTTGTGAATCCAAAGGAAAACCAGTGTAAGTGATTTAACAAGTAATATGTTTTTTGTTATTTTACTTATTCTGCTGTGACTGCAATCCTCAGCTGCAGAAATCTACTGGCATTGTCTCCTCCTGGGGTGTAAAGTACTCTCTGGTGTAGAAAACCCCTTGAAGCCTGTCTTCATTAAGTGTCTATAGAAGATTGCTCTTTTATTTGTCATCTATTTTAGTTTTCAGGAAGAATTCCAGCTGTGAGATTTTTTTTTTTCCCATCAGGTATGTCAACCTGAAAGGTGTGCACATTTAATCTATCTCTGTTTACATCATTAAATTGATGATAGAGGAGAAAACATCTCATGAAAATCTTCCTACATCAACCAGCCTCAAAAAAAGAAAAAAAATCGAACTTTGACTGCCATTTACAGGGGAATTTGAAGTTTAATTATATGTGCAAGCTGGCTGCCTCTTTCTACCAGGATTTGGAAAAGTGTAGCCTGCTTTAAGAATGTAAATTGTTTTTCTTTGGAATTAGCATCCTTGCTATTAATATCTTTAAAGACAAATCTGCAGAGGCTAACCCTTGCACAGAATCTACTACTTAAATAGACTTGACTCTTGAAAACAGTTAACTTCTCAGAGGGGCTGTTATATATTTGCTCATAAATACATATATATATAATCCAATTGCTTAATATTGCTTAATATTTAGTTATTATGAATCAAGTTTCTTAAATATTGATCTTATACTCAAAAGATCAATATATAGTGTCATGATGATACACAGATTTAGAATGGTCTTGAAAATGGTAATGGAATAATATTTTGAACCTAAAAAAGGTGCAAATTACATGACAAAAATCATGTCATTTATGGCTGATTTTCTCCCTGGTGTAATTTTAGTGTCTACATGGAATTGCTTTATGTAGGTGCCTGAAGTCAGATTTAGGTCAAGGAAAGCATTTAAGTCCAAAATTTCTATTTTGAAAAGCTCTTCTGAGTTATGCCTGGCATAATTTAAACTCCATAGGTACTTTTTTTTTTTAATATTTTAATATTATGTGCCTGCATCATTTTAAAGCAACTCCTTCATCCAGATCTTGACTGGGTGAGCACCTAGATCATGCTTCTTCCCTGCTTAAGACCAAAACACTGGAAGTCAACCTAATTAGTCTGACCTGATGCTCTATATGATTGGTCTTTTCTGTACCTGTGTACTTCTGATGTATGTGTATTTCTGCGAAAAATACTTCTGTCAGTAACACAAAAATCCATTGTGAGCCATCTCTGGCTTTTATAAGGTACCTGAAGGAGAAGGAGTTATCCTTTTATCTCATATCCAGTGAATATTCCCCTGCGTATGAAGAGGTAGAGTCTGTTTCCCCCTTATTTTCAAAATCTGCTGAAGATGTGCAAGTGCTTAATTTTAGGAGAGAGGTCAGCACTGATTGCCCTGAGCGCATCATTGGCTGGGTGATATTTAGTATTTTCCTTATCTCAGTGTTTTCCTAATGACTTAACAGATGAAGTGCTCTTTTTGGCTACTAGACTTGAGGCATTCTAGCCCCGCTCAGCTCCTCACTCACAGCAGGATAAGGGAAAGAATCAGAGGAGTAAAAGTGACATACCTTGACATACACAATATTGCCTATTTGGTAGGCATAATATTCTGGACATACTTTATAAACTAGGAGGCACTAATTATAACTTAATAATTAAAAGAGAGCTCTAATTAAGGTGTTTACTGATTTATTTATTTATTCTAAGTAAAGCTCTGTTCTGTCCTTAAAGGATTCAAATGCAAAACTGACGTGGTTTTGAAAGAGGAAAAAAAATACTTCACATTACAGAATTATCAAGACAGGGAACCTGAATGTGGTAGCCTTTGGGGCAATCAAATATTTTGCCAATAAATGCACCTCTAATTGTCCAGGCCACAGGCACTGCCAACTTCAGCTGCTCTGCACTGCTCCATTAGGTCAGTTTTTGATGGCACAGGGCCAGTAAGAAATAGGCATCCTCCTGGGAGCAGTTTGCAGTGGCTTAGCATGAGAAACAGGAATGTCATGCCCCCAACCTGCATTGTGAGTACCTCTGGCTGGGAGAGAGAGAGGAATTGGACAGGTCCACTGAGCTCAGATATGTCAGTGTCACAAGGTAAGTGATGAATTGTGGGCTTCATGGAGAGCTCAGGGCCAGCCATGGTCCTTCACAGCTGTTTGCACACTATGGGTTAATTCTGTGTACTTTATGTCACAGGCACAACAGTCTCTCCTGTTTCCTCTAGGCAGCAGTAAATGAACACTTACTTAGAGGTGCATTTCTCTTGTATCCCAGAGCAATTTTCACAAGCTTCCAAGTGGCATTTGAGATGAAAACTGAGAAAGGGTGAAGCCAGGTGGTGGCTGTGGTGACATTGATGATACTGATAGCTGCTGCTGAGGAATTCTTTTCCAAAGGGGAAAAGCAGGATAAGGCTAAAACTGGAATGTATTGACACCATCTTACTGCTTATCACTGTGAAAGGCGAATCACCTTCCTGGAAGGGATTCTGTCCCTCAAACCACTTGCATCATTACCCTGATCCTGTGTTTCCAATCTACAATACAGTCCTGAGGGAAAGCCCTTCCTAACTTTCAGTCCTGTAGCAGGAAATGGGAGGGAAGACTTGCTGAAACCAGCACCTCTGAGATATCAACTGCACTCTGCATCTCTTGCTGAAACAGCATCCTCCAGGGATACAGCAGAGGGACAGAGAGTAACTACAGAGAACTGTAGTGGGGGTTAGAGCTAGGGCCCTGCTGAGGTTTCACAATGTAGGATATAAGATTTCTCTTGGCCAGTCATTAGCCATGACTTTGGACAGGAGGAAAAATGTCCTCAGACCCTTGGATGTGAGCAGCATCAGTTGTCACAGCGTGTGAGATGGGCTGGGATTTTCCCAGCCTCCGGGGTTCCCAGTTGCTGTGGATGAGCTCATGTCACCCCACATTTGTGGTCTTGGTACAGAGATCCCAATGTTGGAACAGGGATGTTGAGGGTGGGCTAAAGGGGAGAAGCTGGAGACGTGGGAGAGGGCATGGAGAGGAAGATGGAAATGTGATTCAGTGAGGCAAAATAGGAGGGTGAAAGACAGACTGCACTAATTCTGTAACTGTGCAGTTTCACCTCTGCTCCTCACTGGGAGGATGAGGACAGCTCTGGCTCCAGTCTGCCCCTGTGCTAATTTCTGTTACTTCGAGGCAGGAGCTGAAAACGACCTTATTTTGGGTAACCACTGTGCTGCTGCTGTGGAAGTGGGATGATATCAATATCAGGCTTCCTGCCTCCCTGTTCTGTGATGGTTTTGCAGAGGCAGGCCACGTGGATTTGGTGATGCTCTGACCCAGGTGTGTAGCACTTCAGGCACCAGCTCTAAGAAACAGCAGCAGAAGGCTGGTGTTTGGAATATTTTATGGAAAAATCTGTGACATTTTCAATTAAAGTTTTCTGTTGATGCAAAGCAAAAAAGGAAATATATTCATCAGTTTACCTCAGATAAACATGACGCACTCTATTATATGTAATATTGTAAGGGATCTTGAGATATAGCATTTGTGAGGATTTTGTCCAATTGATAAATGCCCAGTTGGCATGAAAAATTTAAGAATTTTCTTTTGGAAAACTTTGAATATGTGTATTTATATTAGCTTAGTATTTCCTTTTGCAAAACTCAGTCACTGGTTTCTTCACACTGTTGAAAATTGTGATAATATTGATGTCCAGGGTTGTTGTGTTTTGGGCTTCTTTTGTTTTGTCCAAATTACAGGTAGAAATGTATTTCTCTCCATAACTCTCTGCTTGATATGACTATTCAACAGCATTTCTTTTTGGAGGTACTGTTATGTAGTTTCAAACCAAATTGAATCTCTTCCCTTTTCAATTCTTAGCACTGCTTTCTTTTCCAGTGTTTTTGGCTGGATCCCTGGACAGCTGTCAGTCTGTAATATTTTAATCAATGAGCTTACATAATATATATGTAAGGTGTTATTGCATCTTAATTTATTTCTTCTTTTAGCATAATATAGTTTTACAGAGACTTTGTTTATTTTCCAAAGAAGAAAATGTAATTAAACTTCAGAAATCATAGACATCCTTTTTATGTAATGTCTAGACTTTTCTGAAATCATATTGCTTGACAGTATTTTGAGTATTTTAAAATAAACATGAGGTAGCTGTAAAAAATACAGAAAGTAAAGAACAAAATGATAATTTACAGTCATCCATGCTTACAAAATTTTTTAAAAGCCAATGTTTTCTTATCACAAGCTGTAACTTCTATACACTGTTGTGTCTTAACAATATAGTCTACTGACTCAAAACTGCCCCAAAAGTAAATTCAAAAACTGACCCATAATGAAAGGTTCAATATTTAATATTCTTAGTCACTACTCTCATCAAAGCATGCATGAAATATGTGAGTTTTTAAAGTCAGTGTCATTTCAGGAGAAAGGACGTCAAAATATAATGGAATAATTAGGGCACAGGAAACAAAGAAAAAGTTAGCTGTCTCCTGTGTGCTTTAGAGAAATGTCTTTCCATTCCATGAAACTCAGGGGAATCATAGTACAGTTGGTTGACTAATGTAAAGTGAATATTTGGCCTTGTTTGAGATAAATAGGGAAGATTTTTATTTCAGAAAACTTACATAGATATCCTTCATTAGAATTACACTATTCGTGAGCTTATAAAGTTATAGAGAAAAGCACAACCAAAACCAAACACTAATATGTACAGAGTAGTATAAAGTATGGACAAATAAACATTTTAATGTAAGAAAAGGTGTTCACTTTTAATAATGTGTGCACACCAAAGAGAAAGGCTTGGGCTATAAAGTCATTGTAAATGATGTGTATGGTATTCCCACACATTATCCTGTCTTTTCTAGCATCTGTTTAAAGAAGACTCCCTTGAGTGAGACAAACATTTTGCAAAGGCTGGTGGAAACAAATACTAACAATAACAGGAAACCCTCACCACCCAGGGAACCCAGAGAGAGA